AAAGGAGTGTTAATTGTCGTCAAAATAGATGAAGATTCATCTAAAGGAATTTGAAGATAAGCATCTTTTAGGTCAACTTTCGAGAACACTTTAGAACCATGAAGTCGATTTAGAATATCTCCAGCTTCTACCGTCGTGCACGTTTGCTTCAACAAACGGGAGTTCAGAGTTAATCTATAGTCACCGCAAATTCTAGGGGTCTTGCCGTCCGACTTCAGTGGCGTAACGATAGGAGTACCCCATGCTGAAGACTGGATTGGTTCAATCATGCCTTTCACACACAAATCGTTTAATGTCTTATGTACTGCTTCTCGAAGACCATAAGGAATTATTCGTCTTTTAAGAAAGACGGGATCACCCTGTACTTGAAGTTTTATAGGCTTAATTTTCATACTTCCACTGCATTTAGCACACATAGCTATCAAATCTTTAAGTAAAGTATCAGAATTTTCTTTAAAAACTAAGAAGGACAACTCCACCTTAAGCCTTTTCAAATTCTTTAAACCCAATATTGACAGTCCTGTTTCGCTAACTAAAAATTCACAAGGTATGTATGAAGAATTATCATCTCTGATTAGCAATTCACAACATCCTCGTATGGGCAGTCTGTGTCCAGTAATCCCCAGTATTGATACTTCAGTGGGTCGTACAACAACGTTAGGATCTAAAGCTTTCAAGTTCTTGAATGAAATAATGGACTCTATACTGCCTGTGTCCAGAATAAAGTCATGAAATGAACCAAGCGATGTATATAATCGCTTCTGAATATGAGCATTACCTTTTGAAATAGTGGACAAAGACAAATGATCACTAGAAACATCCGAATTATTGAAATTTAAATTACAAGATTTAGTACAGCTCGAAGCAAAATGGACAGTAGCTTTGCATACTGACTGAATGTGTCCTACTTACCCCATTTAAAACATTTAGCATTACGAAATACACATGAATTGCGAGCATGAAAACTTTCCACATGATAAACATTTACCAAACTTCATCTCACCTTTGTGATTTGCTTTGTAATTCCTCGTTGAAACACCTTTCATATTTACACGAGAATAGGAATCACTGTTAAATGAACGCAAGTTTGATTGACCCTGAGATTGTAGTTCATCACGACGACTAAGCAAAGTATTAGAAATGTTCATCGACTGGATATCAAGTTCATTGACTGCTTCGTAGTTAATACATGCAGTTCTAGCATCTTGAAAGGAACAGTTTGGCATTCTTAATAGCTCTCTTTCCAAACTCGGTATGTTAATTCCTGCAATTAATCGATCTCTCAATTGCACATGAAGTTGATCACCGAAATTACACTTGGCAGCTTGTTTCTGTAATTCAAGGATGAATTCCCGAACCTTTTGGTCATTTTGACGAACCATCTTATGAAACTTCGCCCTTTCACGGCATTCAAAACTGGTGCATTTTACATGACTTAACAATAGCTCTTTAAGAGTTGCATAAGGCAGTGAGATAGGTTTTTCTGGATATGCCAAAGTTTTTAATAAGCTGTACGCTTCTCTCCCAATGAATGTCAGAAAATGTGCCACAATTTTCTCACCTTTAACATCTTTCTTGGTCATGCTCCAAATTTCGAACCTTTCCAAATAATCCTCAATAGCTTCAGGAGTTGAATGAATATCCAACTTTTCCATTGCAGGTTCCATCACGACGCCAATATAGTATTCTAATTATCGTATGAATTAGGAATTCCAGGATTAACGCAATTGAATTAAGAAGACACAGGCACAAACGAATGTATTGTATTTAGAATTCGAAATCGAGCATTCAACAAGTACAAAGGTATCATTGGTTCATTCAAACACCACACAGATCCAACTTAATCAGACCTGTATATTTTGAATGATCAGAATCCAACTTGAACGACCATAAACAATAAGTCATATATTGAATCTTCTTTGATAAATGATGTCCGTCTCAAAAAGCGAGTGCATTTTTATTCTAATGGAAAGATTAGTTTAACTCATTCATGATGGGACGAAATTTTCAATAATAATAGGTTTTTCCATAGAACAGAAAACGTTATACTTCACAAGTGGAGCAAATAAAATTGGGCAATTACGACAAGAATGATCAGAAAGCGACAAGCTAATGCAAGAGCCAGAAGGACATAATAGTACGTAGAGAAAAACTAAGGATCAGTAAAAAATATATAAATATGATGAAATACTGAGAAACAAAGACGAATGTCAACAATTTCCCCTGGTAACAAAGAAATAAACATGATAAATTAGAACGAAACGAGTCAGAGTGGCACTTAAGAAGAAACACATTTAAGAATAAACAAATAATTACTGTCGTAAACGATGTATACGCGGGAGAGTGTTTTATCAACACTCACGTATATAAAACGTCTTGATCATCAGATATTTTCGTACGGTTTCTTTTGTGGTATAGAACATGACTTTGTAGATCATGATTCATTATTTCGACCCTTCTCTGTGAGCTTTGATGGACGCAACAGGTTCCAAAATTATGAACCAAGGTGCTATGCTATAAACGAAAGCGAAAAGTCGAAAAATGTCGAACGTGACCAGCTGAAAGTTGTGTTTGAAAAGCGATCTTTTCTCTATTAATGACACAGTCCTCTGAATCACAATTAATCACAGACCGTGGGAAGAGTAGCTAATAACTGCTGACGGTTCTGTTTTGTTACGTTCTGACAGAATTATATGAGCGCTAGAATAGTCAGAGGACTACTGTAAGTTATCAATTTTTGCTCATTTCTCCCGTTTCGGTTGTTTTCTGCGTTCTGTAGCACATTGGGTGCATCGTTTATTTTTGTTCTGTTCAAAGTAATTCAATTTTATTATACACTCCTATATTTCAATTTCTCGGAGAGAACGAAAAACGCAAACGCCTGCGTGTAAAGTGTTTTCTGTCTCATAGTTTATATGCCCACCTTTATGTGCAATTTTCCTTACTTTCTCAAACATGTTTCATGAGCATAACTGCATATAACAATCAGTAACATTTTTTCTTCATTTTCCATGTAGTAGCTTTGCTTAGTTAATCAATCACCTCGATAACGGTTATAATATAAATACCGTGGGATTTCGAAATCAGAAGACAATGAAAAGCGCAATCTACAGTTTATTAGTGGACAGCGCAGATAACAAAGCTTCAAGCACATCAAGCGAATTTAAAGCAAAGTAGTGAATATGTGTGTGCTAACAAATACAGAAACAAATTTGTAGTTAAATCGCATAAGGGCACAGCAAAGCAAAGGAAAAACTAATGATCGGAGTTGAGTAAAAATATATATGTGGAGGAGGATGAATCACTGAGTGATATTTAAATAATCACCATTTAAGCTAGTTTGTCCTGTAATCTAGTGATCATAACAGTTCGAAGAAACAGACAATTTGTTGCCATACAAGTGACATTGTTTGTCAAGTAAGGTAACAAAAGGGTTTAAACAAAATTAACCATAATAGAAATTGGTTGTAGATGGTTGACATTTCCATACTAATCGGTAAAGAATAACAAAATGAAAATCCCGGTCATCCTCTTGTGGTTTGTAGTTTTTAATCTTTAGACAATCTATTACTTTGGGCACATACAACTAAAAGTCGCTAGACGTAGCAAATTATCGAAAAAGTGTTTACCGACAACAAGCACGAGTTTAAAATTCTAGCTGATCGCGTTTTCGGGTCTGCATAGTTACAAAAACATGAAAGTGAGCTGTAGCTGAAAACAGTCCTTCCAATTAAATCGTTCTATAAATATTCCAGAATAACCATTGCAAATTCACTCAGTAATTCACTAGCTGATGGCTTTCGGACAAATTACGTCCAGGTAAACTGTATAACGCACCACCAAAGATTATCAGCTCAGATATTACGCAGCAATTCATCAACCGATAATTCAAGTGAATTTTCTTATTCCACCATTCTCGACCTCTGGTTTTGTTAGTTTAGAGGTTATTTCATCCGAATAGGATAGGGAAGAAGTATTATCAAATGCCGTACATCCTATAACTCTTTAACGATTTAATACTTTGATGTGTGACGATAATTTATATACCTTCCACTTGTATATATCACTGGGGTTACCGCCATCTGACGTATTATGAGGACATAAGAGGAGTGATAGGTTACTTGATAATGACACAACATATTCAATACTCCAAATGACTTCAACAGGAACATCACACCAAAGTATCACCACCGTGATTCGTCCGGTGACTTCTCAAAAAGTTCACACAAAGGTTAAACCTTGATCGGCATCCTTGTCCTTCTTGGTGATATTTCTGCACATTTGGGGTGACTCCCTAGTTTAATAATTCCCAGCCCACTGAGTGGATAGTTTCAAGAAGAGACCTGATAAAGATATAGCCACGCATGGATTGCCATCTCCTGTTTTGACAAGATGTCAGATGCCTGTCGGTATCACCACTACACATTATAACATTCTCCCTATCTCATTCACTATCATATACGTTTACTTGTTGCATTGATAATTCCATCTGAACACTTGCTTGAATGATTTATTTATTTATTGATTCGCTTCTGGTAACAAAAATATATTAGTCCACTCGAATTGAAATTGTTTCTCAACTTGTAGCTAACCTATCTCCTACCTGGTAATGCCATGAATTTTGGTTCTACAAACCCCACTACCCTGAGACAAACGCACTCCGAATACGAAATCGAAAAACCCACAAACAACTTTCGAAAAGACTGAAAATATTGAACTCCATGGTCAGAATACCCCGCATTAAAGATCACAATATACCCAGAACCATACTGAGACAACAAGAAGTGGCCGATAAGCAATCATTCTCTTTAAACTATTTAAAATCATTCCTTTACGTTTATAATAACTTAAACTCTCATTTCTTCCTATCTGAAGACATTTGTGGTCTCCTATACGTATAAGAGTTATAAAAATTAATTATATTGGTAAAGTGCCCGGGTTCTCTTGTAATTTATACTCATTTTTAATGTTGTTTTAATCTGTCACTTTGTTGAAATTTATTATGATCCAGTAAACGTGGGTAAATGATTCACAGTTTCTAAGATATGGGTTGATGAGTTGAAGTACTCTTAACATGATGGAAGGTCATCACAAAGTTCCTTTGTTTTGGACATGTTTCACATTTACTACATTCGGTTTCACATGTAGTTTTGTCTCAATGGTTATGCCTTACTGGTATGCCAGATATCCTCAGTCTCAAAATCGTTTTGTAAGACTGGGGCTCTGGGAGGTGTGTTTTGAAGGCTATATGGCGAAGAAAACTGGAAATTATATGTATTTTGGATGTTTCTATTTATTTGATACGAAAATTTTGACTCTGTGGCCGATCATATTCAGAGGTATGAGGCTGATTTATAATTAAATTTGCCACTTTAAAGATTGGTTTATTGCCTGTCAAGCTTTTTTTACATGCAGTTTTGCAACCCATATATTGGCAGAATGTGTTATTTTGACTCAAGTTCTCGGCTTGGTCTCCATTTTTGGGTCACGTGCAGTCTTGTGTATAATGGTGACTCTATCAGTTAACTGTAAGTTTGAATTACTTTTTCATTTGTTCGAAAGTCAATTCTGAGTATTCCTGATACGTGTTTAGTTCCCTATTGGATTATGGATTCAGTTTTATGTGCCAAACCTATGACTGTTGATTTTCCAATAATCGCTATGACTTGATTGCTATTTCATTTGACCGCTATATTGTACTAGCGTCAGCATTTTACTGTATATTAATGAAAAGTAATACAGTAACACATCTCCAGAAATAGTACTAGATAATCTCTAGTGAGTGTTTTAATATCGTGCTGTACAAGTACTTTAAAAATAACGCGTAGCAAAAACAAAACACGTATGGTACAGATTTATTTGACTCTCGAAGTAAGTCAGCATAATGTAGAAATATACAACTTTTAACACGGCTTAATTACGACCAGATTAGTGTTAATTAAACTGAGTATTGCTTATTTACCTCTGTCACCCCATGTGGAAAAGCATAGGCCACGGACCAGGCTCTCTTTTCTAACTGTTTTCAGTTGCTATTCATTCTTTTGATATCCGCTTGCAATTCCCGGCGCATTGTGTTCTTGTTTCCTTCCTTTCATTTCGCCTTCAATACTCCGAATTGTGGCTTGTCTTTTGATGTAGTCTGATGATTTTCGCAATGTATGTCCTAAAGAATCCCATAGGCATTCGGAGTTTGAGAACGTCTTTACATGTAACACCTTTATGATAGAGGTAAATCAACCCAGTCAAATCAGAAGTCAGAACTGAAACGGTTAGAAGATATATTTAGAAAGCTATCAGTATGCCGAAAAGCGTTTGGTCTAAGCTGGCCAGTAGTTCAAAAGGATGTGTAGCGTGGCATACTCGTGATCTAGTGCAGATACGCAACCGAGAGCATTCAACTAGGGTGTTTCTAGTACAACTGGTGAGGTCAGCATCAATGTCAATACTTACAGAGTTATTTATTTTGAAGATTTATTTACCACTACAGCCCTATCTACCTCCTGCACCTTTTCCTAATTTTTTTTTCAGCTCGAAGTTTATTTGTCCTATCCCACAGTAGGTTGTTGCTAATAGTATCCGGTCAATGAACATTGAGTATCATGAGTTGACAATGGTTTATAATTACCTGTACATTCTTGATGATGATTGTAGTAGTTCTTCAAGTTTCAACCCCATACAATAGAACTGAGTATCATTTAACATACATTTTTCAATAACTTACGATATGAATACACATTTAACATATGATACAATTAAGCATGTAAAACTAAAAGATATAACTAATTAACTGGGTCATACAATAACTCCTGCTCATAATATGACTTCATGTAACAGCCGATCAATTTCATAATGGTTGTACTTCAATTCACTAAGTTACTGCCTGATATATTATATCCTACAATGTTTGTCCATTTCTTTTCAGGTTTTTCAACTTTAGTTAGTTTGATCACAATGGGTGTAGGAGTAGACACTGAACAGAAAATTGAAAAGGCTGCAAAACATCCTTGGTTAGAAGATCTTGATCAGAACTCATTGTCTTGGTCATATGGTATTGCTGCAATATCCCTATTACCAAGCTGCCTTACAGTTATAATTTTAGGATGGTTTGTTTACCCTAAAAAGTAAGATTTGAAACGTTAAAACAATTTATTTTTTATCATGTCAATTATTTATTGTCTATAAACTTTGAGAAGTACTATGTTGGTATAAGCCACTTCAATTTCAATCACTGAATTTCAATTTTGGATTTCACTACACGTGCTTCGGATTTTGTTAACTGACTAGCATTACTACTCTTTACACAAAGTGTACAACTTAAAGCCATGTGTACGAATTTGTACCTGTTCAGTGACTGATACAACGTTCAAAACTTTAGCTTGTTGAACGGTGTTGGAGCTTCAAAACTAATATTGTCCAATCATTTAAAACACCTGATCACGTTTGATTTTACATTAAGACGGAATGAAAACAAATTATTCTGTGATATAAAGAGCCCATTCTATTGGCCAGTTGTCTTGTGTTGTAATAACAATGCAACTGATTAGTTACGTCAGTAAACTGGTCTTATTATCAGCTGTCACTCACTTACATCATATTATTGAGTATTATTGGTAAGTTAGTATTATATTCACTTACTTAACAATCCAAAACCTTGTTTACCAAATCTTCAATCTCTCAGTCAGTCCGCCATAAATAGCATATAATCTGACGCAAGTAAACGTTAAACCCAGTTGCCTTAATATATCAGAACGAAGAAGGGAAGTTGGCAAGATTAGTAACAAGAGAATTGAAATAATATAATGGCGATGTTAATGAGAGAGATTAAACATTGATTAAATAGTACTTAGTTGGATTCACTTATTTTTATCAAATTTTGACAAGAAACTCTCAATTACATAGTAGGGACTTTAGGTACAATATTTAGTAAAGGGATACTAAATTATTGTGTGATATCAGTTTTTCATATCTTTATCAATAGTTCCTACCTTGTGATCTTTACATGATATATTCTGTGTATCATGCTATCCGTATAGTCAATGTGTATCCATATTAAACTCATATATATTTCTACTGTCACTGGAAAGGCTTTGAAGTAAACTGTTAGTGATATTCAGGACTAAATTTCGATCACTACGTCTTGACATATATGCATCTTATGAGAGTTATCTGGAATTTATCATTTCATCGCAATGAACCTGTTTGCATTCGGTTGACGAATGTTAAATGGGAAGAGGTGTATGTTATAAATTCCACTGCTAGTCACGGCTTAACTACCCTAAGAAAAAGTCACATGTAATCAGCTTTTCTATTAGTTATGGTATACCTCCTAACTGACATAAAAATGAAAAAGATACTCAGCAGTCATTTAATATAGTTATATTTTCTCTCTTTAGAAATCTTAAAACTATGTATTGTTAATACGCTTGACTTTAAAGAACAAAATGGTTGCGTTATTTATAAAATAGTCGAATAAAAGTGAATGAATAAGATCAAATCTTGCTTATACTGAACGTTTACTAAAAAAGACTACAAAATATAATACTGAACGTATAAAAGTATTTTATTAAATTTTTCCATTTAGATGCTCAGAACAATATCGTTTCTCAGGTTATTATTAAAAAAAGAGTCTATTTAGTGGCTGAAATACATTAATATCTTATTTTATTGTTGACTTACAAAATTAACTAAATAATCATTATGTTGGGATGATTGAATGTTTTAAGCACATATTTTTTAGTTTGTAATATTATAAACTGAACTATCTATTTCTTATAACATAATAGATCTCCATGTGGGCTATTAATTAATTCAGCATGGAATTGGCCAACATTGAATGATTTGCAATGTCGTTATCATATGCATGATATGCATGTTCCAAAAATCTGTTCATCTTCAAATCCTCAATCATCATGTCATAATATCACTACTATGTCTACCGATTATCCGCATTCATTGCGCTCTCGTACATTAATCCAATCCAGTCAGATTACTGGTGACCAGTTGTCCAATGAATTGAATAATAAAATACTTTGTAAACCAACATTATTTCACAAGTCGGGTGCTCAGATAGAAACATCAATGATAACGGCACAAGACCAAAATTCTATATTGTCTGATAATTGTGGCAAATTGAGTAGTTATGATCCACGTTCAGCGGATACAGTATCAGTAAGATCAGTATTAAACTTTCATATTTATAAATATGTAAAAAATTTGTTCCTACGATATGTCAACATGAATTAAAGTTATAGATAAGAAACCATCTTAAACACGTAGCAACGGAATTACACCATCGAGTGCTTACTGTTAATCAAATCCTGTTGATCAAACTGTCGCATGATAACTGGCCTAGGTGACTTGACTTTGCGGTTCCCTTTTTGCATAAGATGGTCGAAAGGAGATCATTGAGAATATCTGAATTTGGGTTTTGTGACAGTTTAATCTCATCAGCAATCACGGAGTAACTGTTGCTCCTTGTACTGTTCGAGGCTATATCATCCACCGCTCAAATGACTAAATGTTAATGTATCTCACTGTGACTTCAGATGATGCGATTTAAAGACGAAACGGCCTTTTAGTACTTCCAGGTTTTCTATGGTGGTCTAGCTTTAATTGACTCATGATCTCAACCATTAAAAAAACAACTTAAAATTATTCGATCTTTTTAGGTGAGAATTATTTGGACATGAAAACCTTATATGAATTTATGTACAACACGATAAATCATATTCTTGGTCTAGGGTAAAGACACATAGTCCTTGATTCAGTCTAACTATTTGAAAAAAGACATATCTGAATAGTAAGCATTCTCATTAAACGTTTTATCACTACTGTTTCCAACACAATTTTCGTTCATCTTCTCCATTTATTTATTCTACTCGGAATGCACATATTTTCTTAATCGGAATACATGCCTTGACAGGTATCCATTTATCTCCCTCGATAAAAAATATTGAATTTCATAAACTTTTTGATTAGGGTGATTATTGATGGTAATAACTTCTATGAATAATGAAGTTAGGCAAATTCCTCTAAATTAAACTAACCTGTAGTCAAATATTGAGTAGGAGTTTTGCTAGACTCATTAAATACGTCTGACTATATACACAATTATTGTGCCGATATAAGCTTAAAATGTTCTTCTAAATAGAGCAACAAAATAGAGTATTAATATATTAACATAAATAGCATTATAAGAATCAATACATAATGTTTTATAACTTAATTTTCATTATTTCAAGTTTGTATTTCTCTGTGTTCTGGATGGATATTTAGGGTGGAGTATACCTTTACCACTATCACTTTCTATAATCCATAGTTTTGTACTTAGTACAGAATGATCCAAGTTAGGATAGTATTAAAACTCTGCGGGTACTCGACAGATCTTTCGTTCTAGCACGGGACTTCTTAGTAATGTATCCGTACAACCCTGACGAAGATCTAACTCAGGAGCTTCAGGTCTCATGGTGGATACTTGATCAGTTGCAACACTGGGTCAGCCGGCATTATAAACTTCCAACTCTTAGTAATCATTAGTTATTATAGTTTCGTACAATAGACACTTATCTGCTAACAGTCTTGACGATTAATTTATATATATTCTGGTTAGCGGTTTTTTAGCGAGTTAGTTTTCTACGGGATGGGGTCGCTAACCCTATGCCCAACTCTCCTCCTTTATCCCGGCTTGGGACCGGCAGTAGCCACAGAGGGGCCTGGACACCGATTACCACGACGTGCAATGCTAACCGGTGTTGGAGATGGCTGGAAGAAAGTTAGGGGCAGCCAGACCAAAACGTGGCATCAGTACTTGAAATCACTAACTTCTAGTCCGAGCCATGTTGTTAGATGCAGAATACTTGGTTGGGGTCCGCGTGACTATCGTAACCAATGGTTGAAGACTCTTGGTGACATGGCTCAGAATCGATCACAATGGAGTCGGTGTATACACTCTCTGTCTTTCCTTAAACTAAGAGATTAAAATTGCTTTATATCTTTCTTTCTACGAACTAATTCTTTCTTCCTGTACTATGTTCATATATACAATCTTTCTTTTATATATTACCAGCTCTGAATTAACTACTTCTATAAATTCGGTGTCCATCTTGTTGTGTTAATGAGGTATGGTAACTTGGACCGATGCATATGTGTGCCTGGTCCTACGTTGTAACTGACTGACTGACAGAGGGGCTCCAGGCGGAGTTATATATATATATATATATATATATATATATATATATATATATATATATATATAATCTGTTTTTTTATTTGCTTAGCTTTCATCCTACGAACAACCTCCATTGAATTTGTTATATAATCCACAAACTATAAATATGAACCACCAGTTCAATTCAATAATGTATTCAAAAGAGAATAATTTTGTAGAAAATGACTATTGTTCTTCTATTGATTGCAAAACAAAATTAATTCAATCTAATTTATTGTCTACATTTCATAAATTCTCTGCGCCTTTTTTGAAAGAATCTACAAGTGAACGAAAACAACCACAATGTATTACAAATTCTGATTCTCATTCACATTTAAAATCGATTCATTCAAATAAATCATCCAACCTCCAACAACCTTCATCTAGTAATCCAGATACTTCAATATGGACAGAAAATTCAGTAAGTTTAATGTGTCATTTTATACAGTGATGATATTTAGCTTAGTATCATGTTGTTATTCTGTTACGGAACTAATTATCAATCGAACACATTCAAATTCAATTTGGATTAACATATAAGCAGACAGAGTTAAGATCTCAATACTGTACAGTGATACAATTAAAATAGTCCATTGTGTCATCAAATGAAAATAAAGAGAATTCAGTGAAGAAAATTTTCTTTTCAACGAAATCATTTACTGGAGATGTACATTCGTATCTATAGTTGTGTGGTATATATATGTCTATATAAGGATAGAAACAATGGCATCATAAATTGATTCTAGACACCAAATGTCAAAAGAGGTTACGTAATAATCAGGTGTTAGAGAAGAATAGAAGGATGAAAATAATTTACGGGTCAGAATTATGAAAGATAATTGTCTGCTTGACATATATAAAGAAAAAAGTTATAATAATAACAACAACTGATTACGGTTTGAAATTACAAAACATACTACAGAAGAGAATTAGGGCAAAAGAACGATTATAGAATGGACGTATCATTTTTGTACTCAGAGTTCGGACTTGAATTGTTGGGTCACAAACGTCTCAGTAGTGCATAAGTTTTCTTATTCGACCTCTCTTCGTTCTAGCTCCTTTGATTATGTAGATCACTTTAAAGAAAGACTCCTTCAGAGTAAAATGTCTAAAGTAGACAAGATGCTCCTGTATTGAACTGGTGGCTATCTTGCATTCGCCTTTTAAAGCCAAGTTGGGTAATGTTATGAGATGCATTTAGGAAGTGATAGTCTTGTGAGGCCAATGTATCATGCCCCGTAGATACAAGTAAACTGACAGATATACATCTATGTAACCCAAAGCGGAAGTTTATCCTTAACACATCCGTGAATGGTGCGCCGGCTTGAGAAGACAATACTGAGTTTAGCTGAGTAGAAAGTTTTATTCAGGGATTTTGCAATCCGTTTATCCAGGAGTTCGGCAGCCATATCTTCCTTAAATTCCATATTCATAAAAAGAGTTTTCTTTTGCACCGTTGGTGCTTTTTCGGGATGTAGTCTAGTTGTTGAGTTCTTATCGACAAATCTAAGTGGATAACCATTTCTATCGAAGATGAAATAATTTGTCATCTGTTGTGTCATTAAAACATTCGCCTGATCCTTGAGGATAAAGAGTGAATTAAAAAAATTGTCTTTATGAATCGTCATAACTATATTACCAAACTCTCGCATTCGAAAATCTCTCCTTGTTATATATATCTGTTAACAATTCAGGTGTTATTTACGCATTCATCATTATTTGTATCAATAACAGTTTGTTAATTTTTACAAGCAAAATGTCTTCGTTATTCCTTTTTGTATGTTCTGTTAAAAGATTATTCAAACTGCCCGTCCAATGAAAAGAACTAAGCATAAAATGAAAACAGATCAGTTTATGAAGAAGCTTATCCCATCTGAAAATTTATTTAAATTTTCATCATCATTTCCCAACACTGTAAGTTTGATTTTCATAGATACTGATCATCTGTTCTGTTAAAAACTAGTGACATACTTTTGTCAAAATACTCATTATTTTACAATGTTCAAATCAATAGTGTAGGAGGCAAATTTGAATTCAATTTTTATGGTGATTCTTCTCTACGTTGTATTTGTTGCCTAACTCATACCTTTGGAAGTTATTAATTCGTGCATTTCGACAACCAGTTTCTAAGTAAAATCATGGTATTTACCTTGAAGCTAGTTGAACTCTTTAGGTCGTGAAGCATATTCAAAAAATACATGTTAAAGTCACTGGAGAACACTATTTATTGTGTAACGTTTGAAGGAGGTGCTTAAAAGCTTTAGTCACATAGATCATAGCAGCTAGATATTATTATTTTGGTTTACGTGCCATTAAAAACTTTCTTATTGTTTAAAGTTTGAATCTTCAGATATCAAGGTCATGATGACAGATTTTCTCAATATAACTCAACTGAAAACGATTATCATTTTAGCATGCTGTTCCTCAGGGTTGACAACGTTATCAAAGGCTTACAGTTTTGTCTGAAAGAAAAATGGAAATTAAAAAAAGTTTATTTTCAACTGTGTTTGACGTTTACCTTGCGAATGTAACAATAAGTACTAATTTGACAGCCTGAAACTTTCTATCCCTTATAGAGAAAGTACAAGAACTAACTGTAGTAAACGTCGAACACTTAGTTAACTGATAAATGTTGGTGGGTATACGATAACAGCTAATAAAGAAAGTGATGTGAGAACAACATTCGAACAGTTTGTTTCTGAGCTATTTAACAACTAAATTGTTTAACCGAATTACTTACCAACCAAGTGTCAATTTGACTATGCTTATGAAATGCTATGAAAATTAAAGATATGACTACTCCATGTTATTTCATAATAATTCTGAAACTCACCAACATTTTCTTCTCGAATCCCAACACTTTCTTCAAAATCAAATCATCATTGTAGCAAGAGGACGTAGTTTGTCAATCTAGTACATTAAAATTAGTTATCAACTCTGTGCACATGAATCAGTATGATGCTGTAAATCTAGCTATGGTTAGTTACACTCAAAACACTTATAATTTATAGAAATTAACAATTCGAAGTTAGTAATTGTTACGGAGTTATGACTACCTGGAAACGATTGAAAACAAAAGGTAACTTAATAGCTGATTCACTATAAATTTTGGAACTCCCTGGTTTTATGAATCCACGACCTTGTGTCCTCGCCATGAGCACGATACAATTAAATCAGTGGATCAAAAAGCAGTATTCAACATAATCATCCATATTACGTCAGTAGATTTGTATTAACGAGAGTGATGACATGTGTTTAACTTCTAATGTGATTGAACACGATTTATCACAATTCCTCGTGCTTTAATTGTTTTCCAGCATGTACTACTTTGTGAGGAAAACTGACTAAAAATTGAACATATTTTATATCTTCCACCCATCAATTATTCTAATATTCAAGAACTTGTAATCACATTCGTCTTAATTCATTTTTATATCGGTTGTTTGAATCTTCTTATTGAGTCCCAAATAGGATGAAACACGTGTCCTGAATTCCATTGTTAGCCACCATCCATCACATTTATCTTAGCTGGGATCTGATGAGTTCACATAGTTATATATCCGGTAACATTATAAATAGGAATATATTTTAATACTACTATTGTAACTCGATAAATATTCAAAATTTCATGTACTCATGTTTGAAGTACAGTTTATTTTATAAAGAGGTTAGTGATACCAACTGATTATCAAAGCCAAAGTTACTCAGAATAGATTCTGTACTTGTAACTTACTTCCTTGAACACAATGAATAAACGTTTGATTCAAATGATAGAATTGATTTGCATGAAAACTAAATGAAGATTAATTTTTGTTACTAGACTTAATACTATTTTAGTGGCCCCTTATCTGACCCCAATTGTATTGTAGGGATGATTGTTATTGGAAATATACGTATCACCAAGCCTTGTATATAATCATCGACTTAAATCGCGTTGGTGAACAACGAAATAAAATAACTTAAATATGAGAATGGATGTTTGAATACGTATATTTTGTACACTCATTGATCTGGACAGACAATCAGAGGAATAAAGCGATTAAAAGAGAGCGAAGCGAGATGGCGCGCATGTGAGCTAACTCCATTTAATCAAGTGTAACTCAATATTTATAGTCACACAAAAATAAGCTACAGACATATGATGAATGGGGTAAGAAGTGTACACACACAAACTCCCCTATAAGAACAGTCAAGATTGATAAATGAATAATTAACAAGGTCAAAACGTGACTCAAGAAGAATGAGTAAATTGGCCTATCCAGAAGCTAGAATAAGTTATATAGGCTTAACATAGTAACCAACACTACACTATTATTATTTCCTATGTCGAAACTGATAGATCCTGGGATGTAATCTCACGGGGCAGGATCGTGAATACTCACTGCTGAGAAGTCCCACAATGGGACGAAACAGCCGTTCAGTGCTTCCAGGTTTTCCATGGTGATCATCTAGCTTCAAGTGACTCATGATCTCAACTATTAAAATGATTTATTTTGACAAAAGTAACTTTTCGTTTGTTTGTTTTTCTAAACATAATAATCAATATTACTATGTATGTTCATTGAAACCAGTCAACTAAACAAATCATTTATCTTTAGGTTCATAAATTTTTCAGTAAAACAAAACAAACAAACAAAAAAATGAATGAAAATTGAAAATTACTAAAAAAACAAACAAAAAAATTATTTATTCTCCATTGAGGGGGGTGGATATTAATTTATTTGAAGATATGACTAGTTTAATTGTTTCTATTCACTAATGATGATCAATTTGTTTGTTTAAAATAGTAAACTAGTTTTGTAATCTTTTCAGTTTTTCCCCTTTGTATAACAGTTTGTTATCTTTATTGTGTTTAATTTCAATTTGGGTTAGGTTAAATTGAAGTTAGTAAACAAAAAAAAATGGTTTTACAGTTTATTTTACAACTTGTGCGTTAATTTTTAGTTTTATAGTGTGTGTAGATACAATATTCATTGTGAGAAAGTATTGATATGATTCACTTGGTATTGTTGTTTACTTAAATCTTCCCATTGATGTTTAAGACTGTACTTGATCAGTCTGTTATTGGCCTTAATTCACAAGCATTATAAACAAAGATGGATAGTAGCTACTGGTGACGAAATGCTGTTAGCCACTATCCATCTTTGTATCGATGTGATGTTTGATAGTCAGAAGTAATCGATAGATAACCTTAGGAATAGTTTCATAGCTAGTTGGTACTTATCAAAGCCTTTACCAATCAACTATTCATCATGGTTTAACAAAAGCCAGTGAATTTTCAACATATTATATATAGAATAGATCGATACCAGAAGAACTTATTAATTAGTAATGGTCAGAAGTAAAAGTTTGATAATCTTCGGAATTCATTCTGAGGATATTGATTAATTTGAATGGTTTTATAAGATGATGTAAAAAAGTCATAAATACTTGAGAATTATGTAGACTATAGTTTAGTTTCTATCTTCAGGGTTAAAATTTCTCCATTTACGAACTCTAGCAAATTTCCCTGTTGATATGAGTCACTTGATATTAAAATTTTATTTGTCTTATCATGATTTACAGTATAAGGTTTTACCTGTTAAATCAAATAGCCTAATTTCTTATAGTCCAGTTGTTTAATAAGTAGTGTACTCTAAAATTTGTGAATTATATGTAATTCAATAAAAACAAGGAATTTGATTGAGATCGTGAACCTATTGATGTTAGACCATCATTGAAAACCTGGAAGGACTGGACGGCCGTTTCGTCCTATTGTGCGATTTCTCAGTAGTGCGCATCCACGATCCCGCTCGTGTGACTCGAACCCAAGGCCTTCAGTCTCGAGCGCGAACGCTTAACGTCGACACCACTGAGCCGGCATCCAACGGTGTTAATATCTAACCTCAACTAATCCACGAAATTGCGCGACCATCTTCCATTGTACTGAGGTAGGCACTTGTCTCTATCCGACACGGATTAGCTGTAATATAAATCGGTTCTTGATCTCAATCAAAAACTTAGTAATCTCCATAACCCTATACTGATAAAAACGAGTAATACTGTACATGACTTTAGATATTCTATAAAATTATTCCTTTTGTTCCGAACGTTTCGCATAAATTTACTAATAAATCGTAGATTCAGAAACTGGCTATAAGATCAACTTTTTGTATAACACTTAGTGATACTGACCACTTAAATAATCCAAGGTAGGTGCAGTGTCCAAATGGTACAATTTAATCGTCGAACACTAAATATTTCTAACCACTTAACAACCGCTCTACGTCTAACATATTACTTACTGCCTCACTGAACCAAGCTTTACTATGTGTTATTGAATAGACCTTACCAGTGGCTTGTGCATCTAATTTCAATCAATTGACGATATCGTACGATCACCTGACCTTGACTGCCGGTGAGTTCATGAATATGCATTAGACTAAATCGAAATAACCATTCATTACTTCCTGGCTTACAGAGTTCATATTATTTAGTTCAATTCTTGATGAGGATCATAAGTTTTGACAATCTCTATACTTCTCTATACTATTAGTAAACCTTAGTTAATGTTGGAATGAATACTTCGCAACTAAAAATTGTTTAACTCATAAAATACAATACTGCCTGAGCTATAAATTCCTCAGTCAGCCTAACTCAATAACTACGAAAAAGACCGATGCACTAGAGAACATCATAAAGTTATTGACAACAATCCAACTGTTCATACCGACTTAGGGGACCATCCGTTTCAAATTTAAGATCAAATAGGGTTACAAATCCAGTACACTTTCGTTTCAACTGTAGTTTGGCGAATATTTAGATTCATTGAATACTACATAGAACATGATAATTCATTACGTTATTCATCGTAATTTACACTTTAATAATCATCGTTTATGGTATAGTGAGAATCTCATTACATTATTTTACACATTGTTTCTATGAATTAAAAATGAAGTGGAACAAATCATAATACATCTATATTTCATTGACCTTGATCAATAGAAATGCATTTGATTAATGCCTATGTAAATGAATCGAACCGGTCATGTGTCTGATCATATATGTTGACTATGGTGTATTTTTTTCTCTCTCTTATAATTCATTTGAAATTAAGTAGTATGCATAGAGTTAAGCTAGCTTGCCTTCATTTTCATGTGGTGCATTTTTAATTTTTTTTTCTAACATAGTAACTATTATTATGTTTACTAAATATTGGTAAGACTAACTCATTTAAAATTAGTATAAAGATTTGTGGAAATGTATATTTTACTACACGGATTGATCCTCATCATTGAGCGATCAGGATTGGATCCAAGAGATTCAGGACTTACTGTGGCTGATTGTTTTCATATATTAAATTTATTTGAAATATACTTTGTTTTCTTCCAGAAAATTGAAAGTCAATCAAATACGCTTGTTCAAGTAAGTTCTACAATATTACTGTTTTATAGATTCGACATTTCTTTCATAACTTCTTATTCGAAGCTCCTTATATCAGTGAATGAAATAGTTACTGCAGGCTTCACTATTCTTATTGATCAACTGATTTAAGACAATAATACTAATGAGAATGGGTGATAATTACACCAAGAGTGCAACTGCCAATATTTTCTAACTTAAACGAACACTTGTGTCATACAAATGTCAAGATAGATTTTTAAGCGGTGTCAATATTCAATGACTCTGTATGTTCATCCACTGTTGTTTCTCAAAGATCTAGTTGGAACATGTATGTAATGCTTAGATTCAATGAGACGTGTTTTTCCATAGTGGACAAGGTCATTTCATGATTTTTATCATATGAAAACATAAATTTCAACGAGTCAAATACATCATTCAATAAAATGATGGTATGTTATGTCACATTTAAAATAATGATCGTTAAAATTGTATCCGACTGACAAACGAGCAATGAACTCAGCAATTCTTGACGGTATAAATAACCTACAACACTTTCACCATTCAGACGATCCAAATACATTAGCATCATTGAAGTAAAATTATTCAGCAGATGACCTTGACGTTAGTTCTAGGTCAATACTGTTTTATGGTTTTACTAGTTCATAAATATTTCCTATATTTCAAAAACATTAGCAAAACAACTATCGGTTGCAATGTATCCAAATAAATTGATCCACCATTCAATTTTACATATGCTGACTCACCTAAGTTGGGCGTTGGCCATTCCCCTCGTACCTAAAATATATATACTCACAATTATTACCATTTTTAGAAAAAAATAACCCATTATGTACTTAGGAAGATGACTAAGTTTGTGTACTATTTTGTCTAAAGGTGAAATAAGCTGTTGATTGAGTATTTAATAGTAAGCATTTGTTACGTTACGTTGATATCCATATCACAGAAAATCTGGCTACTAAATATTATTGCACAATTTGTATTTAGAAAATCTACCACTGGTGTCTTTAACTTAAGAAAATGACAAATGAAATCACTATTATATACCGACATATTCTACTTATATATCTTACTAACTGCTCAATCATGTAAAAAATTCGAAAGTACTATGTAGTACGCTGAGATAATAATAAATTGTTTGAGGTAATCCATCCATTTCTCAATCTTCCATAACAGTGGTACCCAGCATTTTCGCTTCACCTAGTGGATGAATGTTGTATTTCACAGTAGTTTCCACTGAACATTTCATTTCAAGAATCTGAAGTTACTTACACTTATCTACAATGAATTGTATCGAGTTAACATTCCCAAAGCTAGACGCAGAATAATATATAGAGATGAAGTAGGGAGATTTTATCGACTGAATAACTCAGCGGGCGATGATGATCGATGTAAGAGCAGGTTGAGAAAATGCTAGGAACGACCAAGCCAGTATATATATTGGCTCATGAATACATAGGCTGTTGAACTGAGCAATATCGGTAAGTTCAGACTGACTGGTTGGATTACAAGTGATTACGTCAAACAATGATTTGAGTGATATAACTCAAAACAGTTCGCAGTGGCGAAGATGCATTTGATGTTTGTTTTCTCTTAGATACGAAGCTTCCTAATTTCTCATAAACGTTTTCAACTCCGCTAGTCTATACTTTCTCGAACCATACATTTGATGTCCGATCTCTTCTATTACTGAGAACACTCACTACTTCTACTACACTCAGACCTCCTGACAATTCTATCTCACTGTGCTAATAGAGTGTAGCAACTTAGTCTGATGTATAAATGTACCAGTTTCTACATTGTGTTTGACTGACTATGAGCATGCTGATATGGCGCATCCCAACATGCCAAATAAAAAGCACAGTAAAAATCATGGCTCCAAAAGTAATATGGACTGAAGCAGACACACTACCTATATACTTGTCCATTCAGCTATGCGAGTCAAAAATGACTTGTAAGTGGTATTTGGCAAACTAATCTATAATGTACGCGGACTTAAGGTATATATGCGGTTATCTTTCTAAGAAAAACATATGTAAACTAAGATCTGCTTTATTTACAGCTTATTATGTCTGTATTATGTAACAAAGTCTTATTACATTTCGTAAAGACAAATAATTTATATTCTAGCGTTTTTGAGCTAAATGGCTTAATTGTGGATCTTCGTGAAGTACGCACTGATAATGTTGTCTAGAAGGATGATAAAAGTCCTCTAATTAAACCATCAAGCTCACAGAACACAACAACACCATAAAAATCGACTAGAGCTACAAAAATCACCCGTTTTAAGTATCTTTCTCTTTATTAAATGACATCTTAAAGGTAATTTATCGGTCGAGATCGGTCACTCACTAGTAAGCGATAATTATTTGAACGGTTATCTGAAAAATAAGCAGAACTGGTGCTAGTTGGAAATAGAAAATTCCAACTGAATTAAACATAGATATATGGCTCATTTTGTGTTATAGTAAATTGATAGTTTCTTCATTAACGACTGACTAATTTGCCACCGACTGAACTGGTAGGAACAATTATACCATTAAGCGTTTACAATAATCTTATAGTAACGTTCGAATGAAACTGCTACTGCATATCTTAATCTAAAATGTATGTACCTAATTGTTTCTTCCCCAATTCAACATTATTACACTTTTTGTTTGTGTACAAGAAACTGTTAACCAACCAATAGCTTAGATGATTAAGTCCATCAATCGTAATGGTAATTAACATGATTAATTATAAATACAAATGAATGTGTCTAGCTGAAATTGTCAAATAAGGCTGAATATCTCAATTTCTAATATTGAATAATGTATCGTTCAGCACACATCATCAGATTTTTATCTTCTATTTGAATGTTACATATATTCTTTCTTCCTTATATTACATATCAATCTTTCACAATTGTTTCCAGAAAGCTAAACCAATGAATCGAAAGTAATAATGAAAAAGGTAAACAAAGAAAGAAAACAACAACAACAACAACCTATCATCACAGTATTGCATTTATTTTGAGTATTTTTTCTTCTCTAAAACTGTGCTCGAACCACAAGAAATTCCATTGTTGAATATGTCTCTCGATATACCTAGTCAAGGTCTTATTTGCTTTCTCATTTAACCACACCTAATAGTATAGTAGTAACAAAAGAAAAAACACAAGCCTTTTTTGTAGAATATATTCTATTCAAAATCACTTTTTTCTAATACAATCTTCCCCTTCAAATTATATTCTCCCCCCCCCCTTCCTTTTTTCTCTCTCTAACGAATGTTTGAAGCATCTTATTGTAAATTGTGCTTTGTTACTTACGTGATTTTTTTCTGTCTCAAGAAAATTAATTCCATGGTGTTCATTTAACTTCTTTTTTAGTTTTTTTTTGTGTAAACTATTTTTGATTACCCCCCCCCCCGCCGTGCTATTTTTTATTTGTTTTGGGATTCTTTACATTACCGCTGATATTAAACATGTTTAGAATTATCTATAAATAAAATGAAATAATGCATACCGATAACTCAGGACTTAAATATACAACAAATCAAAAATTTATCCCAGTTTTGATTTAAAATAGATATTATTAATCAGGACTCAGTAGCTGAATGGATAATGCGATGGTGTTTGGAATGAATAGTACTGGGTTCGAGTCCCAGGGTGAACATCAGCTCTGAGATGCAGGTACATACAGCTGACGAGTCCCAAATGGGACGAGACGCGCGTCCTGGATCCCACTGCTAGCCACTATCCACCTTTGTTTATAAAAGCTTGTGAATTAAGACAATATCGAGGCAGACGCACAGTATGCACATATTCCAATAAAAGACTGATCAATCGAAGTCTTAAACCTCAATGGGAAGATTCAAGCAAAACAATACCATGTGAATTTATCAATCTAGAGTTTGAGAAAAATGTTAGTTGACCTAAGTTGTATATCAGAATAACGCGATGTGATGAAAACAACAAAACAAATCGAAATAATGTAGTAGAAACGATAAGCAAATTAAACCTTGAGAATTTGGTTTGTAAAGACAAAAGGTATTCATCAAGGATAACTAGAATTGAAAATCGAGAGGAATATGTATTGGATGAATTGGGTAGTTTATTTAAGTGATAAGTTTATATGAACCTATATTTATTAGAACCGACAGCTGTGTAAAGACAATAAAAAATGGGTATCATTGACAATTCTACACAACATTTGATAATGGATAATCAAATCACTATGGGTAAAAATAAGACTGCCCCCTTGAACATGATATCTGGTCAAATGATATACTCGAATCAATTAACCAGTCAATGATCAAGAACCAGGTATAGGCTTGAACAACAGTTTATTGAAAAATAGCTCAATGCAATCAACAAAACAAGTTATTGGAATAAACGTTTTATAAACAAATATGTTCAGTGTAGCCGGACATGTCTGTCCTTGCTCAATCACAGCTTACTTTCACACGATACATAAGCTTTTGGTTAAAAGCAGTTCGGGCGAAAGTGATCTGTAAATATTCAAGGTGGAGGTTGAACAAAATCTATTAATTCACGCACTTTATTTGAACGGTTTAGGATACTAGGGGTGCAACAATGTGTACATTACACTATTCATTTGTTTTAGTTTCAATATTAGCCTCTTGAAATATTGAATTGGTAAATGTAGTTAACACATACATATTAAATAGCTGCTTACCCTAGAACTGATTAATCACAGTAATTTGATTAACAATTCAACACACTGTTGACGAGTCCCATACTGGGAAGAAACGGCCATCAAGTGCTTCCAGGTTTTCAATGGTTGTATAACTCAGATTGGTTCATGATTTCAATGAAATACTCCAGCAATTTGCATTAATTAGTTCACAAAGGCTCCAATATCCTTCGAAATGACTAATACTCTTAGTAGTGGCCTCAATCTTTTCAGATGGGTGCGACGACTATACATCATTGTCTAAATTCAAGTATGATTTGATATACTTCATACGTAATGACTTGCATATCATTTACATCGAAGCTCAGTAGTCTAAAGGTTAAGCGTTCGCGTGCGAGACCGAAGGTTTTGATTCAACTCCAGATTACAAGTCGTACATCCCTACTGCTAAGCAATCGCATATTAGAGCGAAATGTTCATTCAGTGCTTTCACGTTTCTAATGGTTTTCATAGGTCGGCTGGTAATCTCGGTAAAAATCAATAATCTCTACAACGTATGTATCTGAGCAACATCATAACACATATACGAAAGTAATGGATGATCTAGGCACGTTAATGAGTGAACATTTGGAAACCTGACGGTATAGCAACAATAAGTAAAAGACGTATTCGAAGGGAGTAAAATACAGTATCTTATTGTATAGAAAACCAGTAGATTTTAAATATATGTACATCACCGCTATTGGGAAATACGATGTCGCTGAAAATATATTTAAGGCACATTGTTCCTTAAAACTTAAACTGGTTCTCAAACTTTTTTATTATTTTGCTTTCGGTTTCCAATAATCAATGAGAGTTTCCTAAAATAAATAAAAATTTAATCAATAGTACGTAAAGTTACATATATTGACAGAAATATAAAATTATACACTACTTTTGAATATTAAGTAGCATAATGATCAAGCATAAAAATATGCTTTTACATTACCGACTGGTTATAACTAGATAAGCACTATGGACCAGGAGGCACTGAATAGTTATTTCATCCTAGCAGAAGATTCCTGATTCTGTAGTTTGAAATTATGAAGACTATGCAACTTTCACAAACCTCCCTATACCCAAATAAAAATACAAATCATGAGAAGAGACTAGGTTTCATTATATGGTATTCACACTTTAGATATTTGTTTTAACAGATATCATATGAATAACTTCCCTTTTTAACAATAACATCAATTTATAGTTCTGAAAGGACTTTTAGTCCTCAGAAAACTTAAAATTTATGCTGATCATTGGTATAATCAAACATGTATTATAGTTCCCGCTTTAGATGATCTTAAAAGTCACAGTCTGTTCAAGTTTGAAAATGTGCATTGTCACAGACTCACTAAATGTTGTTCAGTTTTAAAAACCTGATTAATTCTAGCTTTTCACTGGTTATCCGAATGATATTTGTTCTTCGTAAACGCAGTCTTTCGGAAGTATGGAAATACTTAGAAAACTTAATGGATTAAAGATAAGGTTCTCATAGTAGGCTATAAAACGTCTTGAGTTCGAGCTGTGGAAGAGTTATTCTTATATACTGTTGGGAATTCACAAACTAGAACGAAACACCTGTCCAGTGCTTTCTCACTTTCAAAAATAATTTCATAGTTAATTTCAATCCGTCCCCGAAAAATCAATAACTAGTTAGTTTGTCACTAAAAAAATTGCTATTTACCTTAATTGTTGTTTTCCGAACAGCTTCCCATGGATTGTTGGAGAACTCCTCGATTGATGGAAGACTTACGCGACAAAGTATCACACGCTAACATAATCGTAGATTTAAGAAAGGAAATGATTAAATTTTTTTAGAAATTGACCGTCTTCAGAAGTATGAAAACATTGAAATCTATAAATTTTTTGCGATGATGACCAGTCATCAAGTAATAAAAATGGAATGACTTGAAACGAGTGATAGAGGCACAAATTGGAAACGATCCAGTGCACAAGCTCATTTTCGACAATTTCATGAATAAATAGTGATTCCAATGAAACAGTGAAATAATCACTAACTTTATGTACTAGAACCTTTCCTGCCAAACTTTATTTATATCCGAAACAAAACTTTTTATGACCTTACCTTTTTGACTCTATCGGAATCTTCGCTACATCATGATACACATATTCATCCATAATCACCCTCGTATGTATAAGTATGCCAATATATGTAATAACGTTGATTTTAAAATATTATAGATTGTAAACAGCTGGTGAGAACCTAACGAAATAAAATGAATTCATATTATTTTGCACTAATCTTCGTCCTTGCTCCCTCTAACGTTGGTTATCAGCTAGGTAGTCGAAAATTTAGGCGTTGATCTAAAGCCTCTGGGTTTGGCCTTCGATGAAGTCATGGATGTGTACTTATGAGAAGTCTCATACTGGAACGAACGGGATATCTACTGCTTCCTGGTTTTCCCTAGTCGTTTAGATAAATTTACTTTATGATATAAACCATGAAAAGATTTGGATTAAAAGACCGCATAAAATTACAAAAGTGTCCTTTTTCTATTTTCATAAAAATTTTGTCATCGAAAATGAGAATTCTAGATCAGTCTACTAAAGGTATCTTTTAAAGTAAATGGTAATTTGTACCACTTATAAACTTTAATAAAAGAATTGGATTTTATAAAATTAGCAACCAATAATATCACAGAACACAAATTCTAAAAGAGAATCTTGTGAATGCTTCGATTACGCATATTTCATATTCTAATAAGTGATGTTTGTAGTTGAAAACATATTGATCAGTTGCAGTTTTGCATATAAATTCTCTTATTTAACATCATGAAGACTTAATCAACTTTATTTGTATTTTATTCAATAATATCTAATCAGTCTCCATATTCCCTTTTCGCTAGTGACTAACTTCGGGAGGAAATTCAAGTAATTATAGTGAGAAGCTGTGATCAGTGGAAGGAAACTGCATCAGGTGTGAGAAGAAGACAATGGAGGATGTTCAAGCGATTGATTGAAGTTAGACTTGTACGCTACTGGATCCCAAACCCAGTACTCCAGAAGTTTAGCATATATGCGCAAGACTGAATGCCATAAAATCGACCCTTGGTTGAAGAGTTGCACGTGAGCACTTATGAGGAAACCCATACTAGGATGCAACAGTTATTCAGTGTTCCCAGGTTCACAATGGTTGTCTACGTTAGATCAATTCTTGATCTCAATGAAATTCACCAATCTCCACAACCTCACACTGACAATATCCAACTGGTTGAAAAATAAGATGAAAATTTCAATCAATAGGCAAGTCTTATTCGATGTACATTTTGTGGCAGTTGACACTCGCTAGCAAATTATATTTATAATCATGACGATAATTATGCCCGACGTTGCACTCAAAATTGTGTCTCCCATTTTCATAGTCTTAGACGTCGCCAATGATTAAGTCTTCCTTTATGATTAGACATTTTTTCAACTAGTCAAGTGGAATTTATACATATTCATTCACCCAATTTATAAGAGAATTACAAATCGCATAATAATAAATTACATGGTCAACCTCAAATTTAAAAGCAAATTAATGTTCAAAATCTTATGGACTATATTTGATCCAAGCTATACTAAGAAGAAGGTTATGCACAAAATATAATTAAATGAACTTACTTTACCAACCGAATGTGCAACACGAACATGTGCAGCTATTGAACTGCAATTCATTTGTTCTCCATCCTTAGCTGTAGAATCCCTATCAACTAGAACACAAAATGAAGCATGCCTCCAATTGGGATCTTCAGCATAAAGTAGGTAATCAGCACCACCTACACATAATCCAGGGCGTACAATCCAACCCTTAGATCTATAATATATATATACAGCATAACGGCGTAATAGATGGAGCTCCTTTTCTGAATACTTTTCAATCTGTTCTCGTGCTGATTGAATTTGTAAACAAGGTGAATCAACAGATCCTGTACACAGACGAAACCAGACCTCAGTCTATTTATTAAATAAATGAGAAAATAAAAAGACATTACAAACAACGATTTTACAAATTATTTAATACACGTAATACAAAAAGCCAACCTGAAGGTTCTCTTAAAGGTACTAACAAAGGAGAAATAAAAAGTATATAGTGCTCAATTGGCAAAACAAAATTCTTCTTACAAATAAAAATTATGTATTTCTAATATCCCAATGAGTAGAAAAATCAAATTTTCCGACGTTTCGTGACTCAGTGTAAGCCACTTCTTCAGGGTATAAATAACCAGATCAAATTTAATCCAACTTTAAATAGTACAAAGGAACAACGTAAGAATACTATGTGCGATCAATCAAAAAACCGATCTGAACAAATCAATGTCGTGTCATTTCGGTCAAGGTGATTCGTAAGCGATATTTGTGTGTGTAGTGTGCACGGTAAGGATGAAAAAATATGTGACCTTTATGGTGAGAAAGGATAGAGTTTAATTTATATGTACGATACTAGTGTGAAATGTGAATAATATCAGACTAGGTGGCTAGGATAGATAGTCCAACGAGAATGTATAGTAAAGCCTTCTTTTCTATTGACAGCAGTAGGATTAAGCAATATATGGAACGATTCAGCTACTCTCCTTTCTTTGTAATTGGAAAAACCTTCTTGTAATATTTTAAAATCGTTTTGGTGGTTATTGTAAATGGTGTGAACTGCCATTGTCAATTTAATATGAAGTCCACCCAGTTCTACGGGGTTATTAGGTGGTTTCAT